TGTATTAGAGAGTTGGAGGATTATTGGAAAATCCTAGTACAATTTCTGAAGTAGAAACTTACCACGGAGATGTTTCCCCACATGAAATGTATAGTGACAGTTGGGGTGGAAATAGGCATTCAGTAACCTGGGTGTCAGTCCTGACATGCCAAATTCACTGTGTTACATTTAATAATGTACAGTCTATGTTTCAACCTAGATCCTGCAGAGACTCTCTCCTGTTCCTTACTCCTTTCATTGATAACAGAAGTAGTAAAATGATTCACCTTTGTGAAGCTTACTGAAATTCTTCTATATCTTCAGGTAATTCACAGGGATGAGGAAGATAAAAATAAAAAATAGAAAAAAATTAATAAAATTCTTCTACAAAACAGAAACACTATTCAGAGATTGTTGAGAATGTGTGTGCAGGATTGCTGGTTTTTCAAGCTAGATAGAACAGTAGTACCTATTCAAGTCACAACCACAGGGGACCTCTTAAAAATAGATCGACTTTGCTATGTGATAGCTTAGGACGTTTTTATTGATATCATCTCTTTTCCTGCCAAAAGAAAAGCCTTGAGCCTGGAAGGAGGAGTTAGTGTGTATTTTCCTAGGAAACTGGTGCCACAGTAAACTGTATGTCTGTTTGTTCTTGAAGCCGACCTAGCAATTACCTTGGAATACTAGGGCTCGATATTTTTCCAAATGTTTTTCTCCTTCTACTCGACTCCATTATTCCTGATGAAAGAAACAAAACAGTATAAAGAAAAGCTACAGGTTACTCTGAATACACACCAAGTTCGGTAGAGGAGTAGTTGTCTTAGGTGGCGCTCTGACCACAGGACTGTAAGAGCTACACTGGTCTAGTGAGGAAAGCGTGACCCTTTTGAATCATAATGTGCTGTTCATTTCTATTCCCATGTTTCTCCTAGGATTTCTTATCTCCTGCCCTAGCAAATCATAACATACACACACACACGCGCGTACACACACACACACACACACACACACACACACACACCCATCCCTGTCCAGTGCACCCAGTAGGGGGGAGGGGGCAGAGAAGACAAAGTCATTTATATAATGTGTCTCCCTGCTGAGCCCCTAATGGCCAAAGCTTTTGTTCTGTATTCAGTGGCTGCATGTGATGGGCAGGAAGCTGCAGTCTTCCTTTGTTCCATGGCCTTATTCAGCAATTTAGATCCATCATAAAAATCAAATATGCATGTTGCAATTGCCTTGCGTACAACAGCTTCAATTTTCACCTTTTTAAAATTTGAACTCCACAGGGGAAGAAAGAGAATGAAGGAAGGAAGGGAAAATGGGGGTAAGGAAAAAAAATTTGCCTTGTGTTTTTGCTTAGTGGACTGTGAAAATAGACAGTCATGAAAAAAAATTTTTTGTAATCTCATAGATGCATCCCATTGAAAACAAGACATGCTACCAAATTAGGCCTTCTGGAAATGCCCTCAAACCATCCTAGTTAGCTCAGGCTCCAAAACTTGGATGTGAAATGATGAGAAAGGAGAAAAATAGAACATTATAAAAGAGTAGAAAGAGGAAGACTCTTTAGGGCTTGAAGAATCATCGTGTTCAGAGAGGTACCTCCATACCACTTATAATTATGACCAAAAAGAATGTTTTATGTTCAGCTGATTGTCGTCGTGAGTTTCTTTTGTAAAAGAAATGATTTGGGGAAAAGGTTCATAGAGGGAGTTAGAGAGCGAATACACTTAAAGATATATTTCTTCTCTGAATAAAAATGAACACTTTGACAGAGATGTTTTTGTCCACTTATTGATTTGTACACTTTATTTAAAATTTTCCCACAACTTCAAAGGGTACGTTCCCTGGAGTTCAAATAAATTTGCATCAGCAGCTTTGGTATTGATTATGCAGAAAAATACACAAACCTTTTACCTACTCCATTATTAAACTTGAGCAATGACTTTACAGATGGGTTCATGCCCTAATATAAACAATATGGCCAATATTTATTCAATTTATTAAAAAATAAAAGATCTGAAAAAGTGTGCCTCTTTATGCCTGGTTTCACTTACTAATACGGATTTTGAAGGCTCATGCTAAACCTGAAGCCAACCAGTTTGAATATACTTTGCCTATTCTTAGAAATGGAGCATTTACAGGGTAGTACCAGGGAGATTGCTGTAGTCAACATTATACAGACACTGAACATAATATAGGATGGGTCCAAACTGAAAGAGTGATCTTCAGGCTCATTCAAGGTTGAAAAGCCCTTTGATTGTCTGGAGTGGAGCTTCTTCTGGAAGATGTACCAAATGAATCTGGGATCAAAACCAATTTCACAAGTTTGATTGAGTCATAATATGGAAATCCACCAGATTCTGCTATGACTAATTAGAGATGTGTGAAGAAGGTTCCCTTCCCCAACATTATTGATTTTTCTTTCAAACTCCCCAGTTTCACGGGGAAAATCTCTGGCATTTAAAAGTGTTCAATTTAGTACACTTCACTGATGCATGTAATCTTTGCTAACTGCATCTCATTTTCTCTGAACTGGATTTTTCAGACCCTCTTATGCCTGGATGTATTTTAGATTTACTGTATATTTGAAGTGAAATCAAAGGTGTACCCAGAACATACAAATACTGAGAGATACATTTAATATTTGGATTTTTTAGTTGCAAATTTTTCCTTTCCTCTACTGGAAATATGGGCAGTTACAAAAAAGTGTAATTTTAAAAAGTGGATTCCACACAATTTAAGCCTACATGAGTAAAGAGATTTGTATATGTCTTGAATCAATCTATCCTGGAAAAAGCAATAAGGATGGAGAAAAGCACCAGGGAATTTACAACATTGGATTGTGATTGTATACCATCATAACTGAGGCAAAAGCTATGGCCCTATGCCACCTCAAGCCATCTCATGCCATCTTACCTTTTAACACTACTCCATATTTTTAGGATATTTCAGACATATATCATACTATAACTTCTCATTAAAGTTAGGGCCACATGCTGGCATTTTATGTTTTCAACTTCCTTCATATGAGGAAAGATGCTACACAGATGTATTAAATGATAAACATTTCATATTGTCGATTGAAATGTTTATCTTTGAACTTAAGGTAATTTAATATATAAGGGTATATTTTTAATTGAGTATCTTTCTCTTTCTTATGGCAACTTTATCGTCAGTTCTTTCTTCCCAAGAAATAGTTGTAGAAGGCCTAGAGGAAAAATTGTTTTAGGAGACCTTGTTTGCATTTCAGATCATTTCAACTATTATTCTTTCCTCTGCTTTAAACAAAAAATACATGCTAAACCAATGGTAGGTCTCACTTACTGAAATCTCTTCCTCTGCAATCACACAGATGTTGAGAGTAAAGCCTCCAGAATTGGACAATCTCAGTTCAAGTTCTGACTTTATCCTTGACTAGCTCTGCGACCTTGGGCAAGTTAAGCCTGAGTGTCTTAATTCATAAAATGAATATATGAGGATAATAACACTTAATGTATAGGATCATGTGAGTTAAATGAGATTAAATGTTGTCACAGGTTGGATTCCTAGAGAAGCAGACCTGAGATTAACATTCATTGTGTTTATTTGGGGGCGTTGTCAATATCTGTGGAGGATAAGCTGCAGTGCATTCCAACGAAGACCTCAGCCAACACTCTGGCAGGTGTTTTTCAGCTGGGACCTAGCAACTAAGGAGTGTCATCTTTTAGCAATCTCTTTAGCTGTGGAAATAAGTCCTTTATTATTGAAGGGGTAATTGGGTGGCACATTACAATGTCTATTAGAAGAGTTTAGTAAGCACTCAGTAAATATTAGCTATGTGATAGTGTCAATGTATATTTACCTGTGAGACCATTCTTACAGAACAACTGCTTTCACATGTCTTTTAATTACAAGGGGCAATATAGTGCTTTGGTAAGAGCATGGCTCTGGAACTAGATTTGAGGCCCAATTTCCTACTAGCAGCTGAATAATACTAAGTACATTAGTCTGTGTCTCAGTTTCCTCATCTGTGAAATGGAAATAATAATAGTACCCATTCTCATAGGATTGTTATGAGGATTAAATATGTTAATACTTATACTTTAAACAGTGCCTAGCATATAATACATACTCTGTAACTGCTAGTGCTTCTATCATTATTATTTTTATAATAATGATAGAATAATATATTAGATAATGATAGAATAATATATAATAATATATTATTATAATGATGGAATAATATATTCTATCATTATTATTTTTCTTCTCTCAGTCAAGTTAAGCATGTATAGTAAGTCCTCACTTAACATCATTGAGAGGTTCTTAAAAACTGACTTTAAGTGATTAAACACGTAACAAAACCGATTTTTTATCATCAATATTATAATGACAGTGTTATTTGAAGACCTGATATATCTTCTTTTACTTAAAGTCAGTTTCCGAGAATGTATTGATGCTATTGAGGATTTACTATAGTCAAAAAGTACTTTGGAATCAGACAAATCTGTCACCAGCTGTTCTGAGCATGAGCATGTTACTTATCTGTGATTCTCAGTATTATCATATGTTAAAAGAAATAATATAACCTTACAGAAAGCATCACATATATGAAGGTATTATGAACTTACATTTCAGTTTCTTTGCTGAAATATGGTAATAACCTCACCCTTGGGATGTCCTGAAGATTATGTGAGTTCATTCATGAAAAGCACTTAGAATGGTACCTGATACAAAGTCTGTGTTCAGTGAGTGTTAGCTAATATGACGGTGATGATGACAGCTATATAAAGGACTCTGCACAGTGCCTTGCATGTAGTAAGCACTCTAATATTATTTTTGAAGCTCTCCATGAATGTTTTGTTTATTTCTTCCTTTTAGCCTTTCTTTTCCATTCCAGCTGGCCTGCTGGACTTTTATTCTTGTGTATTCCTTTCCTCTTCCTTTACTTGCTTGTAAAGATTTTGAATGTTATATATGGGTCAACAATAAACCATATCCTCTCACATCCTTAAAAAACAAAAGACAAAACCTTCTACTTTGTTTTTTATTTTGGAGACAATAAGGCTGATGAGTGATTAAACAATAATCTTCAAGTATTCAAAGGTTCTTGCTACAGAAAGGGTGGTTGCCCGTTCTCCATCTTCAGGGCAGAAGAAGAGAAATAGACTTCAGTGGAGCATACAAACACAGCATGGAAGGCAAAAGAGGATGATAGACATTAGCTGTGACAGGCTAAAAACAAAGAATATTCTTAATATATTTAGAATAGCTATGTGCATGTGTATCCAACCAAAGGAAAGAGAAAATTCTAATGAAATTCCTTTTAGCTCCATATTTCTGATTGTGTTATCCCAAAATATTTTAGCTATAAATATTAACTGCTAATGTGTACCTTCCTTGTGCTATGTTCTTTTGTCGTATTATCATTCCTGGTTTCATAATAGCTGATGCCCTTTATAAAACGATCAGAAAAAGATCTTGGTTTGGGATAGACATATACTATTCATAAAGGCTAAAAATTGTTTCTCCTTGCAATAATATATAATAATAAAAAATATACATACCCAGAACTTTCATTTGCATTCCAGAGGAAATAGTCTGAATACCCTATTCACACACTGGGTTTTTTTTTTTTTTTTTTTTTTTTTTTTCAGTAATGTTTTAAACACTACTAAGTGTTAACGTTTTATACTAAGTTATTACTTTGACAGGGATTTGATAATATAATTATGGCCCTAATAATCATGTAGAAAATCATGTTAATTAAATAAAAACTGAAGGAAAATGAACATTTTGATTGGGTTTATTTCATCAGAAGAATCAGACATCTCAAAATAAAAGCAGACATCTGTGGAAAAGAGGAAAAATCTATAGTTCTTGAAAACCTAGACTCTCTTCTAAGGATGTTATCATACAGAGATCTAGGAAATAGCTCAGCTTTAAACATACCCCTTAATAGATACGTTAAAGCTGAATTTCCCTCTTCTCCACTTTTGGTTTAATTTTCTTTTAAAGCTATATTTTTAATGGCATATGAAGCTATTGTTTTTGTTTATACTTTGAAGAAGTATGGCATCTTTTACCAGGAATCTCAAATTCTCACAAATTTAATACATAGTAGTTATTACATGTGAAATATATAAAACATGAGGCTTCCTACAAATTCCTGGCAGGGGGTGGAGGTGGGGTGGCAGGTATATGCATTATATCTCATCGTTTTTAGGAGTTTTTATTTGGGTTCCTAGTGATGATTGTTCCCATTGAAGAGAGATCTGTGCCCAGTTGGCATGTTTTTTAGAGGTTTTTATACCACAGGAGAATTCCCAATGATACTTTATCATTTAGACTTCCTTCTTTAACAACATGAGGGAGGTAGACTGATTTTTTCTGTTAAACACTTTAAGACTTTTATTTTTGTATTTTCATATTTGGCGTGTAGTAGGTACTCAATAAATAATAGTTGAAGCCATGAAAATCTTTGGTCATTTTCAAAGTGATTATTTTGGAATGCTGTGTATTTATTATATTAGTGTCCAAAACAGTTCTGGAATTGCCCTCAGAGCTTGTGTTAGGGTCTTTTGAATATATATATCTTTGCAGATCAATTAATATTTATTTAGTGTCTATAGTGTGTGTGTCTGTGTGTGTATGTGTGTGTGCGTGTGCGTGTGCGTGTATTTCAATTTTTTTGTAGAGATGGGAGTCTCACTATGTTGCCTGGGCTATTCTTGTACTCCTGGCCTCAAGCAATCCTCCTCCTGCCTTGGCATCCCAAAGTGTTGAGATTACAGAGATGAGCCACACTACACTTGGCCTATATTTTTTAATATTGTGATTTCACCCATTAGTTTATTTACTTGCAGTTGTAGCAATTGCACATCAGTCTCCCTTGTGTCAGGAACAGTTACTAGGTACTAAAGGTGGACAGTGAGAAATAAGACATGGTTCTACTCTTCCAAGAGTTATAACTTAGAAATGTACATTCAAATTAACATAGTAGAAAATACAATGTTATAGCAGATAAATGTATACAGTGGAATTGACAAGGTGTCTGGGTGAGCATCATGAAAGTGGTGGCATTTCAGATCTTGTTGGATATAGATAGGAAAATATGGGAGAAGGGTATCGCAGGAAAAGAGAAAATTGCAAGCAAAGACCCCAAAGCAGAAAAGCATTTGGTTTAGTCAGAGAGTGGTGAGGCAGAAAAAGAAACAGGGAGATAGAACTTTGGAGCTTGAGTCCCGGGGTACTAGCCTCAGTGCTTAAACATACTGTGTCCCCTTTGACAAGTGACTTGAACTGTGTCTTGGTTTTCTCCTCTGTAAAGTGGGGATAATATTTGTACCTACATCACAGGGTTGTTAAGAGGAATATAGAATAATACATGTAAAACAGTGCCTGGCACATAACAAGCACCATGTAAGTCTTATGTAAGTGTTAGAAAATGAGACAGTGGAGTATCTTCTCTACTGTACTGAAAGCCACTGAAGGTTTTTTAGCAAGATGGTGAAAAGATAGGCACTGTACTTTGAGAGTATGATCCTGGCCCTACTGTGTACATTTGATCATGAGACAGATGCTAGTTAAGAGAGATCCTAGGAAGGGGAAATGCTAGCTTGCTCTGGAGCATTAGCTATGGGAATGAAAAGGAGTTGGTGGATGCAAGAGACACCAGAGGGTCCCCATGACATGCACATAATTTTTATTTTAAATTCCGGGATACATGTGTAGGATGTGCAGGTTTGTTACATAGGTAAACATTTGCCATGGTGGTTTGCTGTATCTATCAACTTACTATCCAGGTATTAAGCCCAGCATGCGTAAGCTATTTATTCTGATGCACTCCCTCCCCCAAACCCCCTTCCACCCCAACTCCCTCTAACAGGCCCCAGTGTGTTGTGTTCCCTTCCCTGTTTCCATGTGTTCTCATTATTCAGCTCCCACTTATAAGAGAGAACATGCAGTATTTGGTTTTCTGTTCTTGTGTTAGTTTGCTGAGAATAACACCTTCTAGCCCCATCCATGATTCTGCAAAGGACATGATCTCATTCCTTTTTATGGCTGCATAGTATTCCATGGTCTATATGTACATTTTCTTTATCCAGTCTTTTATTGATGGACATTTGGGTTGATTCCATGTCTTTGCTATTATGAACAGTGCTGCAGTGAACATACACGTGCATATATGTTTATAATAGAATGATTTCTATTCCTTTGGGTATATACCCATTAATGGGATTGCTGGGTCAAATAGTATTTCTGATTCTAGGTCTTTTTTTTTTTTTTTTTTGGGGGGGGGGACGGAGTTTCGCTCTTGTTACCCAGGCTGGAGTGCAATGGCGCGATCTCGGCTCACCGCAACCTCCGCCTCCTGGGTTCAGGAAATTCTCCTGCCTCAGCTTCCTGAGTAGCTGGGATTACAGGCACGCACCACCATGCCCAGCAAATGTTTTGTATTTTTAGTAGAGACGGGGTTTCACCGTGTTGACCAGGATGGTCTCGATCGCTTGACCTCGTGATCCACCCGCCTCAGCCTCCCAAAGTGCTGGGATTACAGGCTTGAGCCACCGCGCCCGGCCGATTCTAGGTCTTTGAAGAAAAGAATTGCTGCACTTTTTTCCCACAGTGGTTGAGCTAGTTTACATTCCCACCAACAAACAGTGTAAAAGAGTTCTCTCTCTCCACAGCCTTGCCAGCATTTGTTTCTTGACTTTTTAATAACCACCATTCTAACTGGTGTGAGATGATACCTCATTGTGGTTTTGATTTGCATAGCTGCAGAAATGTCTTCTTTTGAGAAGCGTTTATTCATGTCCTTTACCCACTTTGTGATGGAGTTTTTTTGTGTGTTTTTCTTGTAAATTCGTTTAAGTTCCTTGTAGATTCTGGATATTAGACCTTTATCAGATGAATAGATTGCAAAAAAATTTTCTCCCTGTCTGTAGGTTGCCTGTTCACTGTGATGATAGCTTCCTTTGCTGTGCAGAAGCTCTTTAGTTTAGTTAAATCTCATTTGTCAATTTTTGCTTTTGTTGCAATTGCTTTTGCCAACTGCAGCATGAACTGTTTATCCATGCCTATGTTCTGAATGGTATTGCCTAGATTTTCTTCTAGGGTTTCTATAGTTTTGGGTTTTACATTTAAATCTTTATTCCATCTTGAGTTAATTTTTGTATAAGGTGTAAGGAAGGGGTCCAGCTTCAGTTTTCTGCATATGGCTAGCCAGTGCTCCTAGCGCCATTTATTAAATAGGGAATCCTTTTCCCCATTCCTTGTCAGGTTTGTCAACAATCAGTTGGATGTAGAGATGTGTGGTCTTATTTCTGAGTTTTCTATTGTGTTCCTTTGGTCTATGTGTCTGTTTTTGTACCAGTACCATGCTGTTTTGGTTACGGTAGCCTTGTAGTATAGTATGAAGTCAGGTAGCATGATGCCTCCTGCTTTGTTCTTTTTGCCTAGGATTGTCTTGGCTATATGGGCTGTTTTTTGGTTCCATATGAATCTTAAAGCAGTCTTTTTTCTCTAATTCTGTGAAGAATGTATGTCAATGGTAGTTTGATGGGAACAACATTGAATCTATAAATTAACTTAAGCAGTATGGCTATTTGCATGATATTGATTCTTCCTATCCATGAGTATGGAAGGTTTTTCCATTGTTTATGTACTCTCTGATTTTCTTGAGCAGTGGTTTTTAGTTCTCCTTGAAGAGGTCCGTTGCTTTCCCTGTTAGCTGTATTCGTAGGTATTGTATTCCCTTTGTAGCAATTGTGAATGGGAGTTCCTTCATGATTTGGCTCTCTGCTTGTCTATTGTTGGTGTATAGGAATGCTTGTGAATTTTGCACATTGATTTTGTGTCCAGAGATTTTGCCTGGTTTCTTGTCAGCTTAAGAAGCTTTTGGGCTGAGATGATGGGGTTTTCTAGATGTAGAATCATGTCATCTGCAGAGACAGTTTGACTTCCTTTTTTCCTATTTGAATACCGTTTATTTCTTTCTCTTGCCTGATTGCCCTAGCTGGAACTTCCAATACTATGTTGAATAGGGTGAGAGGCCATCCTTATCTTGTGCCAATTTTCAAGGGGACTGCTTCCAGCTTTTGCCCATTTACTATGATATTGGGAGGCGGGTGGATCACAAGG